CACACGAACCCTTTTCCTTATTTGAAAAGGCATCCTTGTTCCCCCCTCCCCCACACTGCATAAATCCCCCTTGAGATTCAGTATTCTTTACTTCCATAGCTTATCCTTTTGTTGACTTTGCTGAGAACTAGAGAGAAAGGATATTGCTTTGCAAGAATAATAAACCTTCTCTTTAACACAAACGATCAGGTTCGTTTCTCTCCGAATTCAACGCCCTCTTCTTTTCCACCCAAGTGAAACCCGTTTTAGATGCATACCCAATGATTTGTTAATCCTTTTGTGAGGTGGGTTTCATTTGGTTTCTTTAATGGGTCGTGATTCCAAACTCTATATCAAAAAATATGTCACTTTCTTGAACCTTTCATTCATCGGAGTGGCCTGTGTTTTCTTTCTTGTTTATTTCAGCGCTTCAGAGTTTCTTGTTCTAACCAGCAAATATCAAAGCGGTGAGAATGATTGCAAGACCTTAAAACAATTAGATAACTACAAAGCCAAATGCCTTTACTTGAGAGCCAATGGCTCATGTGTATCTCAAGGCTATATAGACTATCTTTCGTTTTTCTACTGCAATTTTGCAAGGTTTCCCCAGTTGGGTCACTGTCTTGTTTTTCTTTGGCTTCTCATTCTGTTTTATCTTCTGGGAAACACGGCTTCCGAGTACTTTTGCTCGTCACTAGAAAGCCTAGCAAAGCTATTACAACTATCCCCTACAATTGCTGGTGTTACTCTCCTTTCTCTTGGCAATGGCGCCCCAGATGTTTTTGCCAGTTTAGTCTCCTTCATGGGTGATGGAACATCTGATGTTGGCATTAATACAGTTCTAGGCGGTGCTTCTTTTGTGACTTGTGTTGTGGTTGGGATAATTAGTATATTATTGCACCAAAAAGGAGTCAAGGTTGAGAAGTCTGACTTTTTCAGAGATGTTTGCTTCTTTCTTTTGGCTCTTGCATATTTAGGTGCAATACTGGTTCATGGTAAGATCAATCTGTGGGGAGCACTTGGCTTTTTTTCCTTATACATTGCTTATGTTATTGTTGTATATGTTTCGCATATTCGAGGGGGTAATGGGGCAAGAAATGATGAAGGGGGTGGAAATTCAAGCTATGGCATGAATGATTTGAGTGTGCCAATTTTAGATAGTGTGAATAAAGGAGCTCTTAATTTCATAGAAGCAGGAGATTTGGAGAACGATATTGAAGAACCCAATAAATCTTGCTTTTGTCTGAGGTCATCCACTTGTTGTATTACCTTACTCTATATCCTTGAGCTGCCTCTTTACTTGCCTAGGAGATTGACAATTCCTGTTGTTAGTGAAAAGGGCTGGTCCAAGCCAATTGCAATTGCTTCGGTCACGCTAGCACCAATTCTGCTAGCACTCATTTGGAGACCTCCACAGAATGATTCTAACCTCAGCATTACTTTAGTAGTGTACGGACTTGGTTTGTTGGTTGGATTAACTTTTGGGGTCTTTGCATTTGTAACAACTGAAAAATCAAACCCACCGACAAAATGCTTATTCCCTTGGCTAGCAGGAGGTTTCTTGATGAGTGTAGTTTGGAGTTACATGACAGCTCAAGAACTGGTGGGTTTACTGGTTTCAATTGGGCATATATTTGGGATAAGCCCTTCAATTTTGGGGCTAACAGTCCTTGCTTGGGGCAATTCACTTGGGGATTTAATAGCCAATTCAGCCATGGCTTTGAATGGTGGTCCTGAAGGAGCACAAGTAGCTATATCAGCCTGTTATGCTGGTCCAATCTTCAATACACTCTTTGGCTTAGGGTTATCTCTTGTTGGTTCTTGTTGGTATGCATACCCATCTTCTATTGACATCCTTTTCAACTCCCATCTGTTGGAGACTCTGGGTTTTTTAGTTGGTGGCTTGCTTTGGCCACTCCTGATTCTGCCAAGCAGAGACATGAGGCTTAATGGGGTTCTGGGTTGGGGCCTCTTGACTCTCTACTTGGTTTCTCTATCTCTCAGGCTGATGCAAACACTTGGTTCTCTTCAGTTTCCATATACATAGTCTTGTAAAAATCAGTTATAAATTTCAGATAGTTAAATTTCATATACATAGTGTAAGTTTCCTTCCTTATGTATAGATATCTTCATTAATTGTAACCACTCGGTTATTTGATATATCCTGAAAGAAGCTATCGGCTACCAGCTTTACTTAGATTTATCTGATTTTGATCCATGACAACTTTTTGCTTGTCTGCTTCAAATAAGCAGTGTGGAGTTTGGCAGGTTTAACGTATTTTTCTATGGAAAAAGGAATCTGAAATTATTGATACGCAATATGTTTGCCATTTGAGATAAACTGATCAATCATTCTTGTTTTCGGAAAAGTTTAAAATACAATTTGTATCTTTGTTTACTGTTAAATTTGGTAATAATTATCTTTCTATCTCTCTCTTTGGCATCCCTGATGAGATTGGATAAGATTCAAACTCCAGCAATAAGGCCCTTCAGAGAACAATAAGAATATTTACTTGATTCAATTCCCATTTTATCTTTACCTTAATTCATATGATTTGATTTCTCATCCAATAAAATTTCAAGATGGAGATGAAGAATAAGATTACATATAAATACACTATCCAGAAGGAAGTGAAAATATAGGAAACAAATATAAAAGACTAGCAAGAGAAATCGATAACTGTAACCTGCTCTGCACAAAATACAGCTACCTAGTACTCCTTGTTGATTAAACTTTGAATAAAGTCGTTTGATCAGAAAGTTTCGAGTTCAGATAACGTATCGAGCTTTAGTTGCTACAAGTTCATAGGTGTTTTACTTACCTTCCAATTAAAGTACAATGATAATCACTTTTAAAAATGGTAGTCATAGTTCAAATTGGATAACGAAAATAGTTGAAATCTTCTAGTTTAAGTGTCGTAAAAGTGACATAGAAAGATGAATAACAGTGCATACAAAACCTAGAATTTATGAAATTGACAATTATTGCTTGACAACTTTTTGGAAAGAAAAAATTATAAGAAGAAAACAAATAAATTATAAGAAAAAAAAAAAAACAAATAAATATCTAATCTAGAAGTTGTCCAAAATATTAAACTTCCTCAAAAGCTTGATGGAGACACCTACAAATAACACTACATAATTGAAAAAAGAACAAACAAAGAAACAAATTTCCATTAACTTGACATTTAAAAGCAAATCACTCAGCTTCATTTTCATATAAACAAAACCAGAGTTGAAAAATTTAAGGGAGAGAGATATGATACCAATCAAGAGTAGTAGTAAAACAAAATAGTGACATTAGCAAAAAAAAAAGTTGTTTGGACGATTACAAAAATTAAGTCACAATGCTCAAGAGCTAGCGTGAAGTGTCAATGGCCGCAAGATTTCACAGCCATTATCATAAATGTTGGCACCATCTGCCACAAACAAACACCACAGCTTGGGTCCAGCTGAGTGGTATCTTCTTTTTCTCCTTTGTCTGAATTTGAGATTTCAAATTAAAAAACGTGTGATGGTTTGGTTCTTTTAGAAATCACTCAATAAATATATGACCATTCATGATTCTTGATTAAAAGGTCATATTCAATCCAAGTTGTAATATATCCATAGTTTGTATCTACATTCTCTGCATCTGTAATCACCATTTATTATGCTGTAGATACATGTTTGAGTATACTTCACTATTTATGTACAAATTATATTTACTTTTTTTTTTTATGTCAGTAATAATAAACAAAAATTTCATATCTTTTAATATTAGAAAAACTAAAATCATACTTTATAAATTATTACGTACTTTGGTAGAGAAATCAAAATAATATTGTGATATTTACGTTGCTGCTGATTATCATGCTAAATATGTTTAATTTTATGACTTTGCAGGTGTGTTTTATTGAGAGATTTGGAGCAAAGATCTCCAACCTTGAGGATTTAAAGGACTTCTTACAAATGTTCTTAGCATAGGTACTGAATTCTCTTCAAGCAACGGAGCAAAGGAGACTCTTGAGGCTAAACGAGGCTTCGGAAGAGTTACTTTTGTGATGAAAGCTAAGGCAAGACCTGAGGAAGCGATATTGGTAATAAGATA